AGAAGATAGACACGATAGATAAATAGATAGACAGACAGACAGACCGAAACAGACTGGCCATTACTACATTTCGAATGAAAGAATATCTTACTCTTCAATCTCCTTCTTATTTTTTTGTCTATCTTTTCTTTCGTGTTTATTTCTGTCTCCCCGCCGACCCTTCGCTCCTCGTGGATGCAAGGGATCGATTTCCCACGCACTAATCTTTCGCGTCGGGGCGTTACCCTCCCCGTCCCCTCTCCCCCCCCCCGCCCCCTCCCCTCGGACGTGCCTTCACCTCACCCAGACTACAGCCGGCGTCCTTTTCCTAAGAATAACCCTCTACATCCGGTTTTGTGCTTGCTCTAAGCCCCCTAGAAGCTACTCTCCGTGCCGCCCTCAGGCTCGACGCCATTTCGGTGAAGAAGCCCAGGTGGATTTTATTCCAACGGCGTCTCGGGATCACATACTATCTTTATCGGGATATTTCCTTACAATCGGGTTTTGATGGGAAAGTTATTTTTTTGTCTTAATATGTGTGTGTGCGTAAATTTGTGCGTGTATGTATGAGTAAGTAAGCGCTCTTGTCTGTGCGCGTGTGCGAGCGCGTGTGCACCTCACATATCTCTCCCCCCCCCCCACATCCTTCCCCAGTGACTGTCCTTCTCCCCAAGGTCTCTGGACCTCACTTCCATCCTCCTCTCCCTCTTGCCGCGTCTCTCTCCCCCATTTTCTCCTCCATTAATATTTTTTTATTGTAACGTTATTGGAAATTCTTTGAGGGTCACCGGCACAGGATGTATATTTTTATATACCGTACATTCATCGTATTGTTTGTATAATAAGGAAATCACTTAGGAACGAAGCAGTTGTTGATTTTTAGGTATTTGCTGTGAATGATATCGACCAATACTGACAATGTCATTAGTTAGTTGAGATGAACAAATGCAAAAAATATATTTAAAATTTATTTAAACAAGGGAAAAATAAATACACAAAATGGTAAGGCGGCACAAAATAGACCCCGCCAACTATGCCGCTTCTGTCAATGCAGCCCTGCCAACCTCAGAACTTCTGGAAGTTGTCTCAGCCGAACTTCGACCGCCGGCGCATCTCAGGAGGAGCGGCGGGAAGTGAGATTTCCCCAAACAACTGCTCCGCACACACAGGTCTCTCTAATCGATAGAGCCGACAAGCATGCGCCTCCTGCTGCGGTCACAGACTGTCTTCCGCCGGCGGTGTCGCAGTGTGGGCGAACGACGTCAACCCCGGTCGATATTTATGCCTGCCTCGCTTCGACCTCTTCCCGGGGCGGCTGATCAATGAGGAATTCTGCTCTCGTTGCGGAATGCGGCCGCTCAGATTGTATCAAAGCTTCTGTTATTTCTTTGAGGATGAGAAAGGTACTATGAGAGGCACTCCTCTCTTCGAGGGGGTCAAGTGAGTCCCATTGAGACACACTTGCCATACACGTTATTAAAGGAAAACGTTCTCGGGTACACTGAAATGAACACGAATGACCCAGTAAGAAGCAGAAAAATAAGGTAATAACGAAGAGGAGGGCATTTGCAGAAAGCTCTCTTCTGGAGGGGGTATCCATTTTCGGAGGAGAAGCACCGTGTGTCGGCATGAAAACAGAACACTAGTTCGGGTAAGCTTCTGCAACACCTCCGTTCGCCATGTCGGGAAACCTCTCAGAAGGGAAGCGTGTTCAGATTCAAGATTAAGATTAGTTCTAAAACTCCCTCCGGTTTTGCTCATGTTCAGGAGTAATGCAATTAGGAAAGACGAAATTGCTGGTTGTGAGGCATGTTCGTTGATTTCCCTAATGATGTTTGTGATTTTGGGGAGGCTGCAGTAAAGAATGTCTGAAATTGACACTAAAAGTTTATCAGCAGTTTTATAACAAAAATTCTAATGAACAGATAAGTCGGAAATTATGTATATGTCGTTGCTTGACGTTACCTGCAAATCCATATTAATTTGCTGCAATTAGAACACGTACCGCCGTTATCAAAGTCCCTCAGTTGACCTTTATTTCTTCTCTCTCCTCTCGTCTCTCTCTCTCTCTCTCTCTCTCTCTCTCTCTCTCTCTCTCTCTCTCTCTCTCTCTCTCTCTCTCTCTCTCTCTCTCTCTCTCCAAATATATATATATATATATATATATTAATATAATATATATATATAGATTTATTAGGTAGAGAGGTTTTTTTTTTTTTTTTTTGTTTCTTTCTTTTTTTTATTTTTCTTTTTTTCTTTGTACTGTCTGTCTGTCCCTGGTCTCCCCCCCTCGTCTCTCTCCTCGTCGGTCAATGTCTGGTCTAGTCTCCGTCTCTCTCGCTCTCTCCTTCGTCTCCAGGATGTCAGAAAGTCAGAGTACATAGGAGCATCTTCAGACATCTCGACACTCTCTAAGAGCTCGTCTCCTCTCTCGCGCTCCCGGTATACTGAGTCTCTCGTCTCCACGTCTCCTCCGCTCTGTCAAGTCGACCCATCACTCTACTCCTCGATTCGACGACGTCGGACCTTCCTGTTCCGATCTCCGCTCAGAAACGCAGGGTCAGTCAGGCGAGTCGCGAGAAACGCTTTGTCTCTTGCTCAGAAGGAGATCAAAGTTCTCTCCACGAGAGCGTGAGGGAGCCTCAGAAGTCCCTGGACGAACCCAGCATCGCGACGAGAGCCAGACGGCGCCGCTTCCTCGGTCTCCGCCTCTCGTCGCACTCTAGGTTAAGCATTCTTGCTCCTGGTGCACTCCTGTTGGGTGGTAGGAGTTGGCCCTGTTGGTCATAGGACAGTGCCAGGTCCGTGAAGGGAGGGGAGCAACTGAG